TGAAAATTTACTTAAGCATGCATAGCAGAATTTATATAATTTCATATCTCACCGAGAATCTTCTTTGTGTTTAGATAGAAACTTCATAAGAATTATACATTTAGTTAATTCTGTAAAGTTTTTTGACAATCTTGGAATATGTATAATCACGATTTGCACACCAGAACTGTCCAATTGTCCAATCTCCAATGGATTACCACACAATGAAACAATAATGAGAAAATTATGGTCTCTCTTTTCTTGTGCTAACACGATAATGAATGCGTGTTATGATTTTTCAAACCATTACAACTTATTAACAGAAGTTTAAGTGGGCTGGCACATCACTTAATCTAATTAGTTAAATTGCATCCATATATTAATAAGCAACTCAATTAATTAATTGTAAAATGTCAAACACTTGTCAGTTAATTAACTAGTAACACCATTCTTCTAGTTCTCCTTTTTGTGTGCGATTCATTAGGTCCCCGTCACGATACCTAATGGCATGAGTTATTATTTTGATCTAATCAAAATAAATCATTAATTCACCTATATTAATTAATTCAAATCTGGCGTCTAGTATTGACATCTAGCAATGTGTCGCGCTAGATATGTAACGGAAAATATCATGTGGTATGATAAAATCAAACTTATTCGTTTTTCAAGAAATTATAATCTATTTGTCAATATGATTTGATTAATTACAAGACATATAAGTGTGTCAATCTTGATTATTAATCATATTTTTAATCCTACTCTTAAGTCAATATAAGTCGAAAATTTCTTTTTGACTTAAGAGCACACTTTGGCCAAGGATTTCGTTATTAACTTAATTGGACGAAATGAAGATCATAATCTTTTAGTATCTAAGAGTGACGAATTCTCTATTGATCATTCACAACCTTTATATGATGTCTACTTGAACGATGTAGTATTAGCGACTCTTGGCTGAGCAAGATTCAGTATCACCAAAGTATGACTGTCCTCATCTAAGGTACTATGATGACCTCAAGTCGAAGGAAAAATTCCACTATTCAGCATTAGAAAATTATCATTGATACTCGGATAGTTATCCTTGTGGAATCTCACTAGTAGGTCTCCATATTTTTGTTCTTATAACAAAAACAACATGTGTTTATTCAAATGTGACTACATTTTAGATTGTGAGATCAGCTACTCACTTCACAAGAGAGATGCCACACGTGCTGCTCTAACCATAATAACAATATCCGTCTCTCGTTATTACTTAAGACCATGAATAATTTAAGATTCAATCATATGTAATTTATTTCTCACTATCACTACTTCTTATGATTTGCAAGTTAATAGGATTTGAATCTACAAACTCTATTATTATTATAATTTATCATAACAATAATTTAATTAAATAGTAGATCTTGTCATTAATAAAATGTATGAATCATATTAAAAGTGCTTACAACCTTAATCGATTGGACCTAGGGCATAACACTTACAGAAGTTGGAAATGAAAAATGAGAAAAACATAACAAGTCACAACGGTAAGAAATATTATGTTCTAAATTTTTATTTTTATTTTTTTAAAAAAGAAACCCAAACAAAAATAAGTACTCTTAACATAATTATGGCAACAATAATGATTATCCACCGTTTTTCGCTGAATATTTTTTTCCCATTCTTAGTGAACCTTACGCAAGCTGCTTCAATTCACAAAACTCCTTGCAGTCCATATACCTATTGTAATTTTTTTCAATCATATTATTTAAATGATTTGAAATGATCAAACATCCAAATTAGTGTATCAAGTAAGTGTGAAAATAACATAAAGTGAAAAACGGGGAAGGCAAAAAAGGCCTGGGCGAAGGCTCATGTTTTGGTACCCAAGGCCAAAACTTTGTGCTGGGCAACCGCCTGTACAATTTTCTGACCGCTAGGTTTAAATTTCTAGCTTATTTTTGGTGGCTTTTTATGAAAAATCTCAACTTTTCTTGAGTTATTGGGGCATTTTCGCGATGTATTGATGGAAAACTATATATAGGAGATAATTTTCCATTCCTAAACTGAATCAAAACAATCTATACTTAGATACAAACAACTCATTCCAAAATCAAGAGATTTCTTTAATTTTCAAACATATTCAAAACCCCTATGTGATCATTAAGTTTCAGAAGTAAAATGCTAGTGTTTAAGTGTTTTCTTCTGCAAAGCTTGATTCAGTACTACAAACCATTTGCTAAGAGTCCCTTTAAGCACCAATTAAATCCTAGAGGGGGAAAATACAGCTTGAGGACAACAATCATGTCTTTGAGCATTTCTACCAAATTTTGGTGTTCTTGATTCTTTCTTTTTGTTCTCTTTGGATAATATTCCAACAATCTCAAAAGATATCATTATGGAGAACAAAACTACCATGCCGACAATCAAACTCATGAATCAAGATCTTGTTCATTTGGATCGATTCAACGAAACGAACTTCACTCAGTGGCAAGACAAGTTGAAATTCCCTCTCACAAAGTTGAAGATCTTTTATATACTTGATCCTAATTTGGTATCACTTTTGGAACCCACAAATGAAGATATAATAAGAGCGGAAAGGAAAAAATGTCAAGAGGATGAATTGATTTGCCACGGTCATACACTCAATGCATTATCCAACCAATTGTATGATCTCTACACCAATAGATCTTCAGTGAAAAAGACTTCAAATACTTTGGAGAATAAATACAAAGCTGAAGAAGAAGGTACAAAGAAATTACTAATATCAAGGTATTTCGATTTCATGTTTTTTGAAAATATTACCCCTCTTCTTCAAGTGCATGAATTGCAAGTTCTTGTCAACAAACTAAAGGCGGTCAAGATTGAACTTTCGAAATCTTTCAAGTGAAAGTAATCATTGCTAAACTCTCGGGGACTTGGAAATGATATCGAAAAAATATTATTTGTAGTTTTGAAGACTCTTTGGAACAACTTCATAAACACCTTTGAATTGAGGAAGAATCGGGGGCAAGAGATAAGAGTGAAACTCTTATGAATGCACTTCAAAGGCCAATGCTATGGAAAAGATTGAGCTTTTCAACAAATCCAACAAGAGGGAAACGTCTAACAAAGACTATAAAAAATCTAAGAAGAAGATCAAGGGGGATTGTTTTATGTGTGGAAAACTCGTACATTTTGCAAAGGAATGCTTATATCCCAAAAAAAAAAAAAAAGGAGGGCAAACTAAACTCCATTGATGAAATAGCATTGTGGTTACAATGAGTGATAAAAAATCCTATCAATGGCAAAGTTCCTGTTGGTGGTATGATACATATGCAGTTATATATATAATATGGTAAGTCACTAATCAAAACTTATCATGAATCAAATGGAGAACAAGAGATACAAATGGGTAATGAAGGCCCGCTCCATAGTGGTTGGGAAATGAAATATTGATATCTTCACTTCCTAAAAAATCGTTATTCTAACCAATGTGTTACATGTTCCCGATATGAATAGGAACTTAGTGGAGATCTCTTGGAAAAATTGAGCATAAAATGTGTTTATGAATTTGAAAAAACTTGTTCTATTCCAAAATGGGAAATTTGATGGAAAATGCTATACTAGTGAAGGAATTGTCAAATTGTATACTGTTGACAATATTAATTATAAAAAAGTTGATTTTCTTACTTGATTGACTCATTACGACATGTTAGATTAAGTCACATAGATTCTAGTACCATGAAAAGAATGTTAAATTGTGACATGATTTCTTATGATGTGAATAATGCATATAAATGTAAAACATGTGTATAATCTAAAATGGTAAAAAAAAAAAAAATTATCAAAGCATGAATAGGACTTCTCATACTTTTGGACTTATTCATTCGGACATACTAGAAGAGAAAATAGGTAATTTATTACCTTGATAGATGATCACTCTAGATATACTTATGTTAATTTAATGAAACATCAACATGAAGCCTTTGATATGTTTAAAACTTATAAAAAAGAAGTTGAAAATCACTTAAATAAGAAAATAAAAACACTTAGAAGTGATAGATGATGATAATATTTTTCTAGTGATTTTAACTCATTTTATGAGCAAGGAATACTACATTAATATTCTGCACTTAAGACATCCGAAAAAAATGATTTGACTAAAAGGAAAAATATAGAACATTATTTGAAATGATAAATGCCATGTCAACTTAAGCTAAGTTATCATTTAATTTGTGGGGTAAAGCTTTATTGAATGCATATAGAATATTAAATAGATTCATCCAAAATATATAAAGGTTTCTTCTTGTAAATTGTTGAAAGGAAGAAAATCAAACAGTGGATACTTCACCACACCAAAGAAATGCTTTGCAGCGGTCAAAAAATGCTGCAAAAGACAATTTGCAATGTTTTAGCGTGTGTTGCAGGGGTCGATGTTGCCGTTGAGGGAAGAGATACATCAACGTTTATTTGCCGTTGCAAAAGGGCTTTTTTGCAACTTTTTTCAGCGTTGCCGTTAATTTTTTGCAACGTTTTTTGAGCGTTGTCTATGCTTATATCCTTATTTTTTGCAACATTTTTTTTACCGTTGCCGTAGGTCATTTTACAATTTTTTTAAAAATTGTTTTCATTTTTTTATTTATACATTTAAATCAACCACAAAACATGATAGAAAATAACAATATCAAATGTAAAAATATCCGTACAAAATCCAAATCCAAAATTCTAAAGCACCTAAAAATCCAAAACATTAGAATAATGAAATATTATTTCAACTTCTATAATTATTACTATATTTTGGAGTACTGATCTCCATCATTGGAAATGATCCATCTCTTTTAGCCCCTGTTTGACATCCATTTTGGAGAAAAAATAAATTATGTAATAGTGATTGATAAAAGAATATGTGGTTAAAAAGTAATGAGAATTTTTGAGTTTATGTGTAGTATTATTTTATCGATAGAATGTGTGGTTAAAATGAAAAAAGAGAAAAAAAATGAGAATGAGAATGAGAAAAAAAATGAATGTCAAACAGGGGCTTAATATATCCTCAAAAAATTTTGACCTATCATCAACAGGCTTCAATGCTTCTTCTGTTTCCTTTCTCACAATCCCTTTGTCTTTGCTACCAGTCTTCATTGATTTCAGCACCTATACAATGGCAGATAATACAAAATGACAGATTATAAAAAATTGTTGGGTTAATAATTATGATTCTCAGTACCCAAAATGGAAGATTATCGACTTGTGAGGAAAATATCAAAAACTTACCAGTAGAAGATAAAAAATGATAGATGATCACTCTTTATTTTACATTGCAATAAAATTGGAAAATATATTTTTAAGCCACAGTTCTCCTCTCTCATAATGCTCATGGTCCCAAGAAAAAAATGCAAAAACTAGGAGAGAATATAAAAAAAATAAAACCGTAACCAGTAAAAAAAATGCAGGTTTCTTCTCCCTGGATTCCCTGGGAGAGAAATGGTGGTGGATGGGGGTGTTGGGTGGTGGTAATTGAAGCAGTAGGTAGAGAATCAAAATTTTATCAGTGGACTTCCATTGAAGTTCTAAAAAAATTTTAAGCTACACAAATTCAGTCATAGAAGTTGGAGGAAATACAGAATTTTATACCTTTAATAAACACCAAGTTATCTCAGTAGAAAACAATTAAACCAAGGCCACACTCCCGATACAAGAAGGATTCTTTTCTTTCAGTTTTAGTGATTCACCTTCACCCATCTTGCAGTGTATTTTATCTGCAAATATATCACAGAATGCAACAGCTGATGCTCATAGGGAAAATAAGCATGAGAAAAGGAGACTTTTGATCCACCAACTTCCATGGATATGCCTAACCACATTGGTCTTGAAATTATATCTAGCACTTGTGCAACAATCTGGTTCAGAAGCTCTAGCACAAAAGCCATACCCCTGTTATGTCAAGCCAACCCTATCAATTAAGTGAAACAAGGCCACTAAATAGAAAAGTTGCATCTAATGAAACCATAATCCTCTATAAAATGAACAGCACACTTTCAGATTCTGACTTCTGTAGTAAATATCCGATGCATTTCTCTAATAAAACCTTAATCTTCAACTTGGAACCCATCCAAATTAAAGTGAAAGTAAGCAATATTCATTGAATAACAAACAAAATGCATAAATTGAAACTAAGAACTTGCGTTACAAGAATGAAACATACCAAAAAATTGGACCCATGAAAACCATTCCGTTACAATCAGAAGAAGTTATTATAACTTCTTGGATCCTCCAAAAGCAAAGTGGTAGTATAGTGAACTACCACTTTTTTATACCGAGCAAGATGTTTATGATACTCTCCAAGCTCATTCTCCAATTTTTCAATAAATTGACTCGTGTTCGAGGGACTGCTCATACCTATATTTTTCCAGACCCTGCAATCAATAATCAAATTTATAAAATCATATTGTGAAACTCTTGATTGTGGAATATATAGTCCAGATACATTATGACCATCGAATACCACCCAGATTTTATCTTGCTCTATGCATATCGATCTTGAGCAATTAAACACAAAAAATAATGAAAAACAATTAGAGTTGCTCAGCTAAACTAAAATCAGATATCCTATATTTTATAACTCGACAGTCCGGAACTCAATTTAGGCCATTCAAGACACTGTGACAGGAGTCAAGCTGCAATGCTAAATCGACACCTACGAGTAAACAAATTGAGTCAACATACAACTGCTGAAGAAAAAGTCAATTACCTTGGCTTTTGATAGGGTATCTGGAGGTAACATAACATCTGGTCGAACATAATTATTTCCTCTAGATCCAAAGAAACCACCATTAAACCACTCTGGATCCAAATGCACCAACATGTTCTCACAGCAAAGAACACAATAAACACTCTCAGTAAAAAGGGTTATTATCAAACACATAGTGAAGAAAACAGCATGAAAAAGCAAAAGAATATAAGGAAATATACTGACTATAGCACTCGAGTGAGGGCGTCCGATGAACGGCAA